ATTCCTCATTCCTCAAAGACCTCTATTACTCGTTACATAGTATTTAACTCTTCTAAGCTATATAGCATCATTTTACCTTAATAATAATGCGTGAGACGTGTGTCCTAGAAAGTACGTACTTTGCCCGAGAGGCTCAACAGTGTCAGTTTCGTAAGTAGACCAGATCTTAACATGCGGTTTATCTTTCTGTTCACACCTTTGTAATGCTTTGTTGGGCCGGATTTTGATTTGTTACACGGGGAAACACGTAGCGTTGCGCCTATTTGTCTAGACAGAGAATCCAATTAGAAAATATATATACATATATATTATGCGTCTTCCTTATCCCCGTAAACGTATGTAGGCGCGCACTACGCAAGTAAACGAACGAGGAATTGGAGGAAAGAAAGAATAAGGAAGAAAAGGAAAAGAAAAAAAAAGAAAGGAAAAGGAAAAGGAAAGAGGAAAGAAAAAAGAAAAAAATAAGAAAAACGAAAGGAAAAAATAAAAGGAAGTTGAAATAATATCGAAGAATAAAAAGAAAAAAAAAAGAAAGAAAGAAAAAAAGAAACAAACGAATATGTTTGCGTTTCCTCACACAAAGATAATTTCTCTTGTGACATTTTGTTCGTGTGTGTATCTCTCTTTCGTTTTCTCTCACTTTCTCTCTCTCTCTTTCTCTCTCTCTCTCTCTTTCTTTCTCTCTCTCTGTCTTTCTCTCTATCTCTCTCACACTTTCTCTCTTTCTCTGTCTCTCTGTCTCTCTATCTCTCTCTCTTCCTCTTTTGGGAAACATCCGGCACATCGGGAATGAAGTAAATAAATTTCGGGAAGAGTGACTTCAATGGAATTCCATGTTTGCCAAAGCTATCGATGTGACGTAAATGTTAATCGGCCGGCAACTCGATCGTGAAACTCGAGCGGAATGAGCTTTATACGCTCCTCGAAACTGTAAGAGACTATTAATGTTAATGTCGTACGTAAACGTCTGCTCTACGTGAAATCGATTTGTTGCATCTGAGAAAGTACATGTATATTATATTATTATTATTAATATTAATATTACTACTTATTACTTAAACATATAGATATATACAAAGTCAAGCTACAATTGTCAAGTAATAAATAATGCAATAAAACGATATGATATACGCGTTGCAGTATGCATATTACAAATATTTATATAAATAAATAAATATATATATACATAAATATTAAATACATACATATACATTAAATATATACATATACATAATATACATGTCGAATCCATTTACGTATTATACGTAAATCAATATTCTATCTATATATAAAATATATAAAACAGTAAAGTGAATGATATTTAAATAAACACGAGATAATGTTCGAAGTATATATGCGAAGTTTTCATTCTTGTTCGGAAGGATTTTCTATAAAAGAGAGTATTATGGAGGAAAAAAAGAAAAAAGAAACGAAAAAAGAAAAAGAACAAGAACAAGATGCACAAAGAGCAAACGAAAGAAAAAAGAGAAAAAGAAAAAGAAAAGAAAGTAAAAAAAAAAAAAGAAAAAAAAGAAAGAAACGATGAAATGATATAGAATCGTGTTGCGTGCTTGACGTAATCAAAACCAGCCCGGTAGAGAGACATTAGGTACGAAATCACTAATACTATTAATATGTATCAGTGTATCTTTTAATAGTTAGAATAAACGCTCTTATACTTTTCCATCTGCGTATATTGTGAGAGCAGCGTCAATATGGACACTAGAATAGTGATACAGTAGTGTAGTATTGTGGTCGGTGTTTTTTTTCAATATTGTATCGTCGATCTAAGTGTGGTAGTGGCGTCGATAATGTGTCAAGCGTTTTCGAAAGCGTATCCATACATGTATATGTATTTTTTTTTTTTTTTTTTTAATTGAAAATTTCAAATTTCATATTTTCGTTAAGAGCTTTAACATAGAGCGTTCCATATTTTTCAATTGTCATTCGAATTCGAAAAAAATTTGCAAATTTCACGCCTTCCTCCGGGGATCGCACGACACATTATCGGCCCTTAGTCAATATCTAATAAGCTATATAGTCAGCCTAGCAAATATTACTTAACGGTAAATGATTAACCAATACCTTGAAGGCTACAATAACCATAGATCATAGGAGGGTTTATTTTGTCGTAGAATTGGAAACACCTCGGCCGCGCGTAGTTACTAGTACCTTGTCACAGAATTTAGTCGATGCGCTATATAGTCGATGCGATATACATATTTATAAATAGTCAGAATCTTAGTTGTGTGGTCTTTTCAATTAGTATCAAATTATGAAATTTCATGGATGCCTTTCTTTCTCTTTCTCTCTCTCTCTCTCTTTTTTCTCTTTCTATTTTACTTCTATAATATTCCAAACTATTTCTTGCTCTTTATCTATCTTCTCTCTATTTCTTCTTCTCTCTATCTAATCTAGATACGCTTTTAATTCGATTTCTCTCGTTTTGATCTGTTTCTTTTTCTCTGATCTTCTTTTTCTTTATTATATACTTTTTTTCTAAATCTTTTTCTTGTCTTTATTTATTTATTTATTTATTTTTTTTTTTATCCTTCACTCATTGTTTGAAACCTAGTCATCCATTATACTCGAACCGTCTATTTCGACGAATTTCTGCAACGCTTCGCTTTATACTTAACTACTTGTCTCCATGTACATATATTAATTGTCTACGCATACCTTTGCCTGCACGAAGAAAAATATTGCACAACAGAATCATCATTTAGATATTCGCGAGTTAAAATTCACCATCGATATATATAGATACTTATGAATTTAGTCGCGTTCGCCTTTTTAGAAATCATCGATATTCTTTTTTTCTTCTTTTTTTTTTTTCTAGATCGAAGATCACCCAGTACTTTTCTTCGTGCTTAGTTGCAGAAATTTTTATATATTCATACTTACAATACCATTGCACTAACCAATCGAGGCAATTGAAATGAGCAAATGAAGGGAAAAGAATGAAAAAAAAAAAAAAAGATGTGAAAAGAAAAAAAAAATTATTATCCGTTAAGATCAATCTCGTCACGGTATTAATGTGATCTGTTTTTCCTTATAGATTTTATGTGGTCCCTGGGAGCATTACCTGATGGTGAGTATTGAAATATGCACGAACATGTACAACAAAACGACTCCAATGTCCAGTGACATGTCTACATGACTATACCGTAATCAACGTTCAGTTTGACGTAAGACCATCGTTGTAATATTCACGTGTCGATCAATCAAGTCGAAATGTATACTAGATACTAGTCACGTTTTCTCTCTTCGTACTCCTCGCTATCATGCGTGATTCGACGAGAAAATCATGCAAACGTTTCATCCAAACGCGCCATGCAAACTTTCGCCTTTGTGAAAATGCAACTGGTTCATTAACGTAATTACTCGGTTAGCGTTTATCTCGTCACGCGTCATGGTTACATTGAAGAATCACATATGTATATATATGTATGTCGATACGCGACAGGAATACACGATACATATATATATATATATAT